CATTCTGCGGAATCGGATTTATCATACGCCTATCTACAAATTGCAGTAGCTGATGAAAGTAAAGACCTCCTCAGGTCCAACACACATAAGGGTCTGTTCTGAGATAACAAAATGCCCTTTGGAGTGAAGATGCACCCTCCATATTCCAGCAAACTATGGACACCATGTTACAAGGTATTATAGGAGTGGCAGCTTACTTATACGATATCGCAATCATGGGAGCAGATAAAATGAACTTGCAAAAGAAATGTAAACGGGTGCTAACACACATAGTTGAATATGGTCTTCACCTCCGCACAGAAAAGTGTACGATACCTCGGTTTCATGATAGATAAAGATGAACGACGACCAGATCCAGGATTGGTTAGTCATTACGAAAATTCACTTCCTAATCTCCTTCGTCTGTGTGCTCCACTAAACCATCTACTGGAAAAGAATTCAAAATAAGGTCGGTCAGCAAACTTTCAAGCAGCTTTCAATAAAATCAAGCAACTCCTAGCTTCCAGTTTCTTACTTAGGCATTGTGATCGTTCTCTGCCTATAGTGGTTGCTTCAGATGCCTCAAATTATGGTATTAGAGTAGTCACCTCTTATATTTTTTCCCGATGGAGCTGAAAAAACCAGATCATTGACAACAACAGAACAGAACTATAGTCGAATTGAGAAAGAAACTCTGTCGATAATCTTTACCGCAAAAATGTTCCTCAAGATGATATTTGGTCAGCAATCTACCTTAATAGCAAACCATTACTTGCGTATTTGGGTCAAAGAAGGGAATTCCTGTTTACACGGCTAACCGGCCACAACGATGGTCAACAAAAGTTCTTGGTCATGATTTCAGGGTCGGATTTTGTAGATAGTAAAAATCGTCATTTATAGAACTTTTAAAGATAACTGTCTGATTTACAAAGAACTTAATAATTGGCACTCATAACTATTTAAAGTAAAAAAGATCCCAAGACCATGGTAGATAAGGAATTAAACACTGACTGTTTTGTATATACAAATAGTTTCTGTAAGACCTTTGAGCAACGCTAGAATGACCTTGGAATGTCTACTTACTTATTAGAGTTAAATGAGGGTTATATATTAATGTAAGGAATTAGGATTTACAGTTGAACGTTAAAGTAAGAATTAGATTTAATGTTTTCATCACGAACTGACATCAGCTATAATGCCAAAATGGTATTAAACCAAATGAGTAAATGAATCTTATGCCAAAATCCGAGATCTGCTCTCTTAAATGTGATTGATTTATCTATAAATTATAGTCTAGCCATAGTTTCTTATTTATTTTTTATTCCTTGTAACGTTGATGTGTTAACAGTTGTTCGGCTGTTTGTTTGTTTTTCAGTTCAAACCAAGAAAATGATGTTATTACATGTAATTTTTAATGATAAAAGGATCAAATAAGTTATAACAATAATCATCTATTTCATATTTGATTCAATTTAGATGTTTGCTTTATATGTTTGGTTTTCAGACTTTCTATCCGTTTCTATGGTAATATCAGATGAATGATTTAAATGGATTATCCATGTAAACCCGTTGGAATAATTTTAATTAGTCTGTGAATATTTTTTTATTGTTTTCAAACAAACATTGTTATATTCTCTTAATGTTTAGTTTAACGTGAACTGTATACATGTAATTACAGGAAGCCTATAAGCTTTTTCTAATATCTGAATAATAATAGCTCGCAAATCAGATCATTTTAGCTCCTGACTATTATTTTTTTAAACTACTTCCTTAAATTTACAATATTTGTCTAAGCATCTATACTCGCATGAAATAATTTACTACATGAAGATGATAAACATAACTAGTTTGGAACCAATTTTCATTGTAAACAGCCATTGCCATCAAAATCATTAAGAAGGGAAGAGTCATTTGAATGGACATGGATCTTCGACTACATACGATAACTAAGCTGTAATCTGTATGACATTTGAAGAATTTGAAACAATACATTCACAAAGTTAAAATCTGATGATTATTATTTTTATGTACAGTAGATTACATTCATTGGTACCAGAGAATCATTGGATAATTCAGCACCTAACCATTTATGAAAAGATAAATTTTAATTTATTGTTTGGTAACATGCTCATTTGTTGCACGAAGTCACATCACCTGAATAATCCTTGAAAACTAGAAAGAATTTAGTAACCTTTATCGTTCTAGTTTAAGATCAATTCTCTATAATCCATCATGATGTTTAAAAAAAGTTGTCCTTTGCTTTGAAGAAATGCTTTCGAAAATTTTAAAATAACATTTTATAACTGCAATCATGAAATATTCTATTCCTTTAAAATAATCCATAAAGTATTAGTTGCAAAATGTCATATCGTAGTGATACCTTTACACCTAATTTTGTTTTAAAATGATGGTTCATTACAACAGAATAAAAGTGATTCACATATACTCACTATGATAACAGTTTCTTTGAATGGTGACTCATCTGTCAATCATAAAAAACTCAAACTATGTTCGTACTAAACCTGTATCAACACGAGCTATCACAAATTAAATATATACTTATAAAAGAACGTATGAAGATTATCAGTAATATATTTAAGTTATTGATGTTTAATTTCTTGGGTAGTTATTGGCACTCCAAGAATAGTAATTATCTGTATTATTTGGAACAGTATGTCACTATATACACATCTCAAGATTAATTTTCTTAAAAATTGATATTACCTGGAAAACCATTGCGAATCAAAGATCCTAAGGATTAAACCCAAGATCTGTAAGTCAATGGTCCGCATTATCAACCATATTCTAGCTATCACATTTTAGAACGATCATCTGTTTGTATCAATGGTAATCCTTTTACACTTGAAATGGTTGAAATTTAATTGGTAGTCAAACAAATCATCGTAAATCTAAACAGAAATGAGAGTATAATTGATCTCAGTTTGCTTGAAAATCTTTAACATCACTTAACATCATTTATTATGAACTAACATGACTGAATACAATACTATTTTATGAAGTGACGAAATTGTAGAACATGTACCCTCATATTTCAGTTCAGTGGTAGAATAAATATTGAGCTAACAAGTAGATTTAAGGCTATCTAATTCCATTTCATAAGTTATTTCAGGAGTCTAATAATAAATTTAAAGAATTTTGCAAAACATACGACTGATCATTATATTCATGATAAACATTTGTCTTTTTCTGAAGATCTCTGTATGGTAATAATCAATCAGCACGATTTACATAAAAATCAGAATAACACCATATCATATTTACATGATTTTAATAACCTTGTTCTGAATTCAAAACACTTAAATATTTTATTAGTTTCAGGGAAATTATACAATAAATCGTTAATACTTTTAAATCTTAATAACTTTCATCTGCTCTTGTAGAGCAAGACACACTGGCCACAGCCAGTACTCGCTTTTAACTCGAATACGGGAACATGTTCCAGTTTGGTTCTACAAGGATGAGAAGAAAGTAGTTAGAAGTTCCATACTTGAACATCTACTCGACTGCAATCATTCTATTGATCCAAAGTTTGATTTTAAGGTTGTATATACGATTCGTCCAAATCTACCTTGATTTTTTAGCATTCAAAATAGCCGAAGCTCTTACCATCCATGAGCTCAAGCCAGAACTATGCGTACAAAACTGGCACGTCCTATCATTATCGTTACCTTGGCCTTAATTATTATTATTGATAGATTTCTCCCTTTACTTATGTCTCATATTCTCATTATTTTATTCAAAATTGCTCATGATATCACTTTATTTGTTTTCTACACCTCTATGACGTTTAATTATTGTAACGAAAACTTTAATCATCTTACTACATTCACGTTATAATTCGTTACTAACTTATTAAGTCTATTGCCATTATTTGTATTACATAATCTAGTATTATAATCTTTCTATTACATCATCTTGTTTGTTCCTTGTTCACATTTCCTTACGGAACTAGTACTTTAATGAAAACATTTTCACTAATTGAAATCATGAGTCAATTGAAGCTAGACCACCATGGAAAACGTGGAAGCACTGGTTGGCCGTTTCGTCCTACTATGGGTGTCCTCAGCAGTGCGCGTCCATGATCCCGCACCCCGCGAGATTCGAACCCAGGACCTACTGATTTCGCGCGCGAGCACTTAATCACTAAACCACTGAGCCGGCCGGCATCCAATGGTGTTAATGTCTAACTTCAACCAATCCATGAAGTTGCGCCACCGTACACCATTGTCTTCAGTGAGCTGATATCTCACAACAGACCTGGTTGAACTCCACTGGTAAAGGCTTCTCACTAGAACTCCATGAGTATCTCTTGAAGTCAGTCACTAGTGAGCAGATGATTATTATCAGAAGGGGTTTTTTGTGGAGACTTTTCAGAAATTTCACTGATTGAAATCATGTTCCACCATGTTTTCATACTAGGATGAATAGGCTGTGCAGTGCTTCCAGGTATTCCATGGTGGTCTAGCTTCAATTGACTCATGATTTCAATCAGTGAACTTTCTAAAAATCTCCACAAAAAACCCCTTCTGATAAAAGAAATTTTCATAAATATCTACGTTTGTACAGCTTGATTATAAATTCGTTGAACAGAGATCCCATCTCTGAACTTTTTTTAATGTTTAAAAGAGAATTATCTGTCAACTTTGTCATAATGTTTTGAATAGAATCATTTATTTACTTATAAGTGCTATGTGTTTTTGATATAAAAAAGAAATCCGAAATCTCATTAGTCTTTAATTACCTACACTGTTAAACGTATCTATCTAATTCTATAAAAACAAGATATTACTATCCTAAAAATAATAGTAAATTTAACTATTATCAAAGTCGATAAAAATCATAAATAGTTTCGATTTATTTACACAAATATTTGATATGTATATTGTTTCTATTGTATTATTTTATAATTTTTTTTATTATACAATGATGACTGACAATGATCATGTTTATACTTCGAATAATATTGAGTTTTCGGCTACTATATTACTTCTTTATTCTAGAATCAATACAATTCGATCATTATTATTATTATTATTACTAGTTCCTACTATTAACCAACAAAAAGCCAAATCATATGAAGGTAACTAATAGAGTGATAGAAAGACACAACTATACTATTTGATTATAATTAAACAATTTTCATATAAAATTTAAAAGAATAAACTATACATTATTACTAGAGTTTAAAATACAAAACAAAAGTAATAGAATAAATTATTAATAATTTCTATTTATTTTAGTACTAAAAAGATGCCAATAGAACAAAGACCATATAGTAATACATTACATCAAAGTGGTGAAAGAAAAGCTGTTATTAAATATGTTGAAATGAGTAAAGAAATGCAACAAGATGCTGTACAAACTGCTGCAATGGCTATGGATAAATATAATGATGATAAAGATATTGCATTATTTTTAAAAAAAGAATTTGATCGTAAATATGAACCAACATGGCATTGTATTATTGGAAGTAAATTCTCAAGGTATGATAATTTACTGTTGTTGTTTTTTTTTTTTGTTGGTATTATCCATAGTTTAATATCTGTACTTTTCAAATGTGAAATAAAATGAATCACTAATAGTTATTAAGTTTACTCTTCCTTTCTTTATTATGAGTGTACAAAATTAAAAGGAAAACTAATACACTTAGAGAAATGTTTGTATTTAATTTTAATGAAATCTTACAAAGATATTGAATGATATCTGGTTACTAACATTTATAGTTTACTTGGAAATATCTTGGTTTAAACTTTTAGGTTTTTACTGAGAAAATTCGATAAATGAAATTGATTTCTTAAGGTGCTTTTTTATCAGAAAGGGGTTTTTGTGGATATTATAATAATTTCAGTAGTTGAGTTCATAAGTCAGTCAATTGAAACTAGATCATCATAGAAAACTTGGAACTATTGGATGGTCATTTCATTTTGTTAATTGTCTTTTTATTGATAAAAAACACATTTTAACTTTTTTGCTCTCATAATATTTACATAGAAAGTATACTTACATTTGAAGTAATAATAATATTAGAAATTAATGAACCTTTTTACTACTTTCTCTACATCTTTCTTAGTCTATCTTGAATAATTTCTTGGAATAAATGTACTTTGATCATAATAAGTCGAAGAAAAAACTACTTTTAAATAATTATTTGATTGTATCTTTTAATTGATTATAGTAATCTAAATTCTAACTTTTCTTTTATTCAATTAACTTATTTAAGTAGTCACTATAAAATATTTTAAAGTGAACTAAACTGAAACAATCAGATAATTTATGAAGTAAATTATAACTTTAAAAATAAGTAGGTAATAATTATGGAAACTATAAATAGGAAATGCTCTTTTAATCTTGAATATATTTCATACACATACAAGATATTAGGTCGATACCTTACAATATTTTAAGGTGATTAATAAGCAGTTAAACTCTAGTATTCTGTAGTTTGCTGAAGTCGTTGCTATCAGTCATTAAAAACCTGTGTTCAAAAGGAGATGGTTATTAATCTTTCCTTGACTTGGTGATAAATATTCCTTTTTAACTCTTTCTTGCATTTATTACATCATTGTAATTTTAATTCGACTGTCTTCAAGATTAATAATCTTATTTTATCAACTGAGCTCTACGCATTTTTTTCTTATCAACATTTACTCATTATGTAATCACTTGTTTCTGGCCATTTGAACTGTTGCCACAATTAATGTTGTAGAATATTCTTTTACATAAAGTATATATTTACAGTATTTAGGCTATTAATATTATTTACAACCTTGCTATATTATACTAATGTGTCTTCAATATAACCTCAAACTAAACCCTTTCACGTAAGTAATTTAAACGCATTATGTAATTATAATTTTTTAAATATCGCAGGTTGTAAGCAGTTGACGAGAACCAACGAAATAAAACGAATTCATGCTACTCTGCTAAAATCTTTGTTCTTGCTCTTTTCTGAATATATTTATATGAATGCAATACGTATTGTTAGTAATCATAATCAGTTTTGCATTAATTACATCAGTTAACTGAATAATTTAGCATTAAAGGTCTATTATCCGAGTAATGAAACCGGTTTAAAATTATTGTTTGATACTTTATTGTCAATCATTAAAAGGAAACAAAATGAGTTAGTTTTCTGTTGAATGCCATCTTGTATGTCACCATTGGATAACATTGGTAAAAGTAACATAAAATCATATTATCTTTCAATAATAACCAAGTTTAATAACAGTTTGTAAATGAACTTAAAATAATTTAAATGTTTTTGTTTGTAATTATTGAATAACTCTTTATTCTTTATTGTTTTCCTCTTTAGTTATGTAACGCATATAAAACAATTCTGTATTTACTTTTCATTGGAAGATCGTGGAGTTCTTCTTTTCAAAACTGTATGAAATATTCAACTAAAAAGTCTATTTCATCATTACTTGTATTAGTTACGATTATAATAATATAGATATCAAGTAAATATATTGATTTATGATAACAAAATGATCAACATAATATAATTTAAATCTGATTTTGACCATTTACATAAATTTATTTAGTTTAATTAAAAGATTCTCTTTGATGTTTTTTTATTATACTTAGCGGGCATTAATAGTGCAAGGTTACACTAATTACAACATAACATACTGACTAATCGAGAGATATTCATCTAGTCCTCAAATCCGCCTCAAGTCAATTGACCACATTTTTAAGTAACCATATAGCTGTCAATGAAATAATAACATATAATAAGACTGACATGGGTTTTCAACATGTAAAGGGAATAATCGTACAGCCGAGTTTGTTTTTGCACTGAGAAATGAAAAATATAATGAAGATTCAAAAAATAGCTGATAAGACTTCTAACTGAACGCCCGAATAGGTTTCCTAAACGATTCTATTAAACCCAGTTGAAATCTACACAACAACTGGAACACAAGAGAAAAAGAGTGAAATGTGAGAAGAACGCTTCATTCCAAGGTTATTTCAGATTAATTCGCATTTCAGATGCCCTTGGGCTGATTTGACAAAATGTTACCTAACTTTTTCAGGACCCTTCTGGACTATTAAGTGGAATAATCTGGATCGCCTCAATAATAACTGTATTTAAATCCTAGATATGAATATTTACTACACAAATATTACCTATCCTTAAAGAGCAAACTATTAAACAAAAAAATATCATGAATCAATTGAAGCTAGACTGTCATGGAAAACCTGGAAGCACTGGACGGCCGTTTCGTCCTATTGTGGGTCTCCTCAGAAGTGCTTCCAGGTTTTTCATAAAGGTCTAGCTTCAATTGACTCATGATCTCAACTATTAAAATTACTATAATATCCACAAAACCCCTTCTGATATGTTTGCAGTTACTATTCAGAATATTTTGTGCGATAAAATTCCACCAGACATTCAATTACTTAACGAACCAAACAAAAATGTGTTTAAGGCTCTTTCAAATATTGAAGTGTTCACAGATTGATAATATCGTCATTACCAAATACTTGATATTTTGCATAACTACTACTATTTTGAATAATTTCAGTCGGTACATCATATTCCTCAGGTCAATTTCATTAGAATGAAAGTAATGGGGTTTGTATATCAATAAAAATTATTTTAACCACTTTCAGAATTATATTGATTTATAAATAGACCAAAATATATATTGAAACACTAAAACCAAAGCACATATTTGTCCTTAGGCAGCTCCTAAATGAGTTAAATTTATAGGCAGTTACTTTAAAGATATTTAGTTAATAACCAAATTACATGAGGTCGGAATGTTTTAATGAGTCTAATGGATAAACATATAAAATTGGCAATTAAAAGTACATTTTCAAATCTTTTCTGAAATCATAGATATTTAGAAATTATTTATCTTAGAAATATTACTGTAATATTGAATAAAACTTTTAACTATAAACTAGCTATTTATTATTGTTATTATATACTTGCTAGTCTATATTCTAGATCTTGAAGTGTTCTCATACATTCGAAATTTAGTTTATCCTCTCGAAATGTTTACAAACTTTGATTGTAATGATATTTACCAAAAATGTCATTTAACCTGAATAACTGAAATTTCATTGCTTCAAATATTCAGTGCATAACCATAGAATAGCATATACATATACCTTATATACATATATATTCTTTCATTTGTATTAGTTCACCTAAATTATATAAAATAATTACACAGTTATAAAATTACATATCAAATATGCTTACATAATGAGAAGAAATTACTTTTCTCAAGTCAGTAGTATTACGTTACCATTCAGAAGTGAATATAATGGCTGTATACGAATTTTTGATTATGCTTTAATGTATACATATATTTCTTCAAATGTAAATGTAATCATAAATTCTTGGACTACTTATTGTTATACTTGATACTTCTAAGTAAATACATCGTAAACATGACATTTACAAGAGTGATATGATTTGAGATTAGTATGTCTTATAGGCATTAATTTCATCATTTGGTAATTATCCTAAAGAATCAGAATTCAGTGAATTTGAGTCATGTTTATCTTGTAGAAAATATTTTATTTAAAATTTTATGATTTTGTTACAAAAATCTTATATTTTACTGGCCAGTCTGGTATCTTTTTATTGGAGCAGTGGATCGATAATTTGGATACGTGATCAATTGTCCCTTGGCCACATTTAGATCATTTCAGTTGACGCTCATACAACATTTTGTCAGTAAATTGAGAAGTCATATCAACACAACACTTAAATCACTTTTGTATGATAAAATCAACATATCAACTTTTCAAAGCAAAAAAATACCAGACTACATCTCGTTTAACTTACACTTCTCCTTATTCATATAGAATCATCGAAGTAGCTCATAGTATTTTTCTCGAAATTCATAAACACAACACAAAGTTTCATTTATCAACTACCTTATTTTATACTTAAAAACCCATTTTAAAATTATAAATAGACAAGAATTTTAAACCTCACTTCGTTCTCTATTCAGTTTATTCATGAAAGGAGATAAACGGCATGAAGTTCATGGAAAGGTTACACAAACAGTAGCAATAACCAATAGAGTATGTACTAATTTTTATCACCACTAAAAACTTTCGATTACTGGTTTGCATAGCCTAAATAACATATTTATTTGAATCTAAATTTAATTAGAGCTAATGGCTATTTACTGAAATGTACAAGAACCAAACGACTAATCATTGAATGAAATAAAATTGTTGTGATAAATTCCACTGTTGTTCTTTAACATATATTACTATGTTATCCACAACAACTACGATTGAGTTCTTACTAGACTATTTACTTACAATGAAGAAAATATCATTCTCACCATATACAAAGCTAAATGATAACTCTTATAAGTTTTACTCATTCTTATCAATCAATGATATGCGTCTGAATCGTCGTCTTCAATAAAGTTTCAAATCCATTACAGTCGAGGGCATAAAACAGAGAATATTATATCCAACGTAAATTGCGAATCCTCGTGTTCTTCTATAAACTTATCACGAAATTTATATTGCACTAATTCAGTACAACTTTCAGTTTGTAAGATTGACAAATTTCATACATTTATATTTATTTAATATATAATTGGGGTAAGTTGACCCATATTCAATCATTTAGCCTTCTTGGTTCATATATCAACCCTATAGTTTTCAACTTTAACAAAACAATGGAAAGTTCGCTTTATCTGAACACCCAGAAACCAACTAGATGTATCCATATCACACCAGGCTTATGCTTTACAGCTTCGAACTCTCATAGTTATAATTTAGTTACTCAAAATTTTTTTGAACGAAGAATATTCTTTCCGATAAATCCTCTTCAGGTTCTATAATTATACATCCAAATTATAATCCGAAAAATGGCCAGGTTAAGGGCATACTTTAAACATACTTTAAACTATGTACTTTTCCCTTACCCTGGCCATTTTTCGGATTATTAATTTGGATATATAATTGTAGAACCTGAATAGGATTTATCGGAAAGAATATTCTTCGTTCAAATATTAGTCTCTTATTATGACGTCACAGCAAGAGGTTCTTAGGTGATTTAAAGAAGTACATTCAGCCATCCAGTCTACATTTGAAGAAGAGAGTGATGGTCGAATAGCCATTTTGGAAGTTCTCTTAACTAAGAGAGCGGATGGATCGTTAAAAAGGAACTTAAACAGAAAAAGTACATGGACTGGACAGCATACGCATTTTCTTAGCTTTGTACCTCTACAGTACAAACGAAACTTGATCACAACCCTTAGTTACCGTATGCGCGCTATTTGTTCTGTTGATGTAGTTGGAGATGAGCTTAATGACTTGCATAATCCTCTCAGGGAGAACGGTTACCCTAGAAAGTTTATAATTAAATATATGGTCACGAAGGCGAAAGTAGGCGAAATACAAACAGTGAAGAAGAAATCCCTGTTCATGCGTCTACAATTCAGAGGGGATGCGACTAACGAAATACTAACTCAGAGATTACGTAGGACATTACAAAAGTCTTTTAACACCAGAGAACTGCTATTAGTATTTTCTACGCGCCCAATCGTTACACCTAGGCTAAAACATGAATTACCTAGAATGACCACCTCATTTTGTATTTATCAGTTCGACTGCTCCTGTGGAGCGAGTTATAATGGTCGAAGTTCTAGGAATTTACATTTTGGTGCTCGTGAACACCATCCAGCTTGGCTATACAAAGGTTTGATGAAGAAGGTGAACAGCTCAATATTGGCCCATTTAATACAAGCCGGTCATAGTGCCAGTATAAACCAATCTTTTTCAATTATTTATAAATTAAGTAATTTTTTGCCAAAACTGGTCAGACTGAAAGTTCTTCAAACGGCTGAAGCAGTAGCCATCCGGATGAAGAAACCGGAGCCATGCGTACCGAAGAAATATATTCAACCACTCCTTCTTCCCTAGCCAACTTCAAAGCCAATTAATCAATAGTAATCTTAGCTACTGAATGACCTAATTTGACTACGACCTTTCGCAGTCAATTCTAATTGATATAGTGAAAATTCCCATTTTGCCATTTGGTAAATAAAGAAGGAACAAATTGAGTGAAGAAATTTCTTTTCAATTACTTTCTCATCATGGCTCTACACTAATATATATATATATATATATATATATATATATATATATATATATATATATATATATATATATATATATATATATATATATATATGTTTTACAATAATAATATAATACTCGTCGAGTAGATACGTTACGTAATAGTTACATTCGAATTAACATTGATTAATTGGAAGAAAGAGGATTATTAATATTCGAAGTGATCAAGAAGTTGCTACGTTGCGTAATGTAAGGAACAGAATTTTAACGGATGGTCAATAGGATGGTAGTTACGTAAGAATCAAGAGATGAATGTTGAGAAGTTATTAAGTTCAAAAGCAACAGAAATAAAATTACAAAAGTTAAAAATAAAAAAAAACAAGTGGAAGAAGTATGAAAAATAGTTCTTTTGAAGGAAATCTTAAACTGATGGCTGGGGCAGGGAAAGTGGTTGTACGAATCTCTTTTGAATGCAAAGGTCAGTTAATTCTTATATGCACAATGAATGTACAATTCAGATTCGACAACGAATACTATAGACAGCTAGATGGAGTTGCCATGGGATCACCATTGGGCCCTCTACTGGCTGATATTTTCCTTGCAAAACTGGAAAACCGACCACTTAAAAGCATAATTAGCCATTTACCAACTTATCGCTATATAGACGACACCTTCATAGTACTAGAAAAAGAAAATGATAAGGACAATTTACTTAATACATTTAATAACGTTCATCCATCAATTAATTTTACATCAAAAGATGAACAGAACGACAGCATATCATTTCTAGATATCCAACTAAAAAGAAGAGCAGACGAAACTTTAAAAAGAGGGGTACACAGAAAGTCTACAGCAGGACAATACACTCATTTCTATAGTGCAGTTCCAATCAGATACAACAGGAACTTGATAAAGATCTTGACACATCGGGCTAGAATGATTTGCTCTGAAGACACCATCGAAGAAGAATTGAATAATATTCGGAACCTACTTAGCATGAATGGGTATCCCATGAAATTCATCGACAAACATATGATGGAGAAGAAAACAAGGACAAAGATACCCACCGTCCATAAGAAGGTACTATTCATAAAACTACAAATCATAAATTACACCGTTGAAGAAATCTTGACTCAGAAACTAAGAAGAGCCGTACAAAAAACATTTAATGCTGCCAGATTAAATGCAATCTTTTACAACTATCCCAAGATAAGAACAGCCAACAAAGACAGACTGCCAGAATTCGCCAAATCTATGCGTATCTGTCCTTTCAACTGCTCCATGTTCACAAACCTGACCTTTGCATTCAAAAGAGATTCGTACAACCACTTTCCCTGCCCCGGCCATCAGTTTAAGATTTCCTTCAAAAGAACTATTTTTCATACTTCTTCCACTTGTTTTTTTTTATTTTTAACTTTTGTAATTTTATTTCTGTTGCTTTTGAACTTAATAACTTCTCAACATTCATCTCTTGATTCTTACGTAACTACCATCCTATTGACCATCCGTTAAAATTCTGTTCCTTACATTACGCAACGTAGCAACTTCTTGATCACTTCGAATATTAATAATCCTCTTTCTTCCAATTAATCAATGTTAATTCGAATGTAACTATTACGTAACGTATCTACTCGACGAGTATTATATTATTATTGTAAAACATATATATATATATATATATATATATATATATATATATATATATATATATATATTAGTGTAGAGCCATGATGAAAAAGTAATTGAAAAGAAATTTCTTCACTTAATTTGTTCCTCCTTTATTTACCAAATTGTAATTGACTGTTACCTTTATTAACAAATCTTTGTATTATTATTACTATTGGTTAAACATCATTATTAATCTCCCCCATACATGATTCATTCACTTCGTATTTATCCCACCTTATTACGTCTTACTAATTTTTCACACAATATAGCCTTCCACTAAACATTTGACGGAATTTTAATTGCACTATTATTTCTCTCTCACCCTATTTGACCCACATTTATTCTGATCATGGATCTTAAATTTCACTTAACATATACGCAGATTCAAGTTAACATTCTATCTGAATGATATCGACATTAACAGTTTTATTGTATTTTGTTTAGCAATCCTAAATTCACATACTTTAAACAATGTACTTTGCCCTTAACCTGGCCATTTTTCGGATTATTAATTTAGATATATAATTGTAGAACCTGAAGAGAATTTATCGAAAAGAATATTCTTCGTTCAAAAATTAGACTTTTAATATGATGGGGATCTTTAAACAATTTTTTATTCAAAGCATCCAACAAGTTACAATCTGTTAGTGTTGACGACCTCATGATTTGGGTTGACAATTATTGCACGGTTCTTGTGATTCCTGGTCTCCATTGATAAAAACGTCTTGGGTGTGATTAAAATTTTTTTAGAAATAAGTGATTGGTTAACTTGTTCTTGAAAGTGTGTGCTCATGTGATAATGAATAAACATTTTGTTACCTGTAACAATCTGTATTGCAAAAATATTATATCCGAACCTAGGCAAAAATCATTACACTTTTAGTGGGGATAAAAATACTTATAAACAAATTTTTCAGGAAGTCTTGAGATATATTTGTTCAAATGATACTTTTATGTTCACGAAAATATAATTCATAAATGTATTTGTTCTCTATATTTCTCAATCTAAGACACATATACATGGGTTTGTGCCATTACTTTTCAGTAAATAATTCTCATGCTTCTAATTCTTTACCCTCCCCCCTTTCCGTTTGTATCCTAATAATTATTGTGAAAGCACAAACTACATGGACATAATTCACTAGTTTGTGCTTTCACAACCAACATATACACTGAAATCCCTCAAATTCTAGATTTTGCAGGCCATACTTTGTCTTCTCAACTCCAGTACCTAGTTCTAATCGTAACAAAGGTCTATTTAAATTGA